AAAAATAAAGCTCTTATAACTACGCTTTTAGCTAGAAATTAGTATATAAAGTAAAGTAAGACTCTTAAGCTTTATTAGAATACTTAGAATTAAGATAGCGTGTAATTCTAGAGTCTCTAGAGTTTATAAGCTATCTAAAAGCGTAAGACTATAAAATAAAATAAAGCTAAGTAGCTATAACTCTAGAAAAGTTATAATAGAGAGATTAAAGTAGTAGTAGTAGTATATAAAAAATCTATAGCTAAGAAAGCAAAAGTATTATAATAGCGTAAGCGTAAGAATACTAAAATAGCAAAGAAAGTAAGAGCTAAGAAAGCTACTTATATAAAGAAGCTTAAATTCTAATAATAAGCTATTATAATACTAAAAAAAAGTTAGAATAGACTAAGTATAGCCTTATAAATAACTTTATAAAGCGCTATTAAAAAAAAAGTACTATATTATTATATTATTAGGCGTAGAAATAGTATTATATCTATACTAGCGCTCTTTCTAGCACTATCTAAAATAATAATATATAGCTAGTAAATTAAGATACTAGCAAAATTTAATTAGATAGAAAGTTTTATATATATTTATAGATTAATATACTAAAAAATCTTATAATAATTACTTTTATAGGTAGCTATATAGCCTTATTTCTAAATTTAAATAAATTTAGTAGGGTGGCTTATTAGGTGTCTTAGCTCACCTAGTGTCCGATTACTGTAAGCTTCCCGCTTGGCCGACACGCAGCTGCCTCACTTCTTTCTCAATTCTTTTGAGAGAACTAACGCTACCTTCGGCAGATGGCAGCACGCATTGCGACGAAACCTTAACCGATCGATATGGACAGCAACTGAGGTGGAGGGTTGGAAAATTTCCATCGCTGCGCGCGCGCGCGATGGAGAGCGCGACGCCCAGTTCCTAAAATACGCGACTGCCGGCCTTCAACCCGGCGCAAGCCACGACACAGCACGTCGAGCAGTTACACAACTTCGACGTGAGGCAATACAGCCCCCAGTATGACGATGCTGTCTGTAAAAGGGCAATTGTATGTGCCCACGTGTCTAACAAGCCCTCACAAACCGGTGAAGTGCTTTGCGAGAGAAGCCATACGCGTATATATGTGCGAAATATAGGTGAAAAGAATGCTCCTTATATCTGTATCCCATCACTTTTTAGCACTCAAGACGCATGCTCCTTTTCGTCTGGTCGTTTCTCTTCAGCCTCTCTCTCTCTTCCTGACATAATGGCATTGCAGCACCTCTGGACACTCTTACCTTTGATTTATCTCGTGCTTTTGTCCGCTCTTGCGTTACCTACCTATGGCGTTTGCTATAGAAGCGATGGGCTCTTAGACATGGTTCCACGGCCCTGTCCCGGGTCAAACATGTGTTGCTACCTCGATCGAACCGACGGCTATGCAGACGATGTATGTATCCAAGGCGCTTGCTACAGCGACTACTGGAAAGAGCAGTACTTCGTGGTCGCATGTACCCATCAGAACTGGGACGAGGAGGGCAGTGGATGTAGTCCCCTGTGGGACGCTTGCGGTACGCACCATCACCAAAACCTTCTACCGCGGAGCACTGACTGTAACTGGCAGGTCGTCAACCAGATTACACCCACGTCTCGCACTGTGCCGATGGCAGCTTTTGCTGCGGCAAAGGCAACACTACATGTTGCAGCGACCATTCTGGTGTATATGTGAACGAAGACGGAACGATCATCCTACGGTCGGATTCAGGGAAGATCGAGGATACTCCATCATCATCATACACGCCGTATAGCACTCCGATTCCTACATCGTTGCAAACACGTTTCTCCAACCCGACTATTACATCAACGTCCAGCGAACCTTCTCAGACAGCAACAGCGGCTATTACACCGTCATCAGAAAACCCAAAAGGAGGACTGTCGACAGACGCTAAAGTTGGAATTGGGGTTGGTGTACCTGCTGTAGTCCTCGCGGCTTTTGGGGTGTGGATGCAATGCCGAAAATGGTTGCCTTACCGTAAGCGGTGGTCTCATCGTTGAAGGTGCCACCGTAGGATTTCATATGTCTACGATGCCTACTAAACCGCAAATCCAAGCGTAGAGAACGATCTCAAGAAGAACGTAGCATGAGATCAATGGAAAGAATGCCAGTTGCCCAAATTGCCCTATGAACGCCAGTAGCAGCAGCTCTATCATCAACTACCACAAAACCTCCATCAATCTGGCATGCATCAACTGCTCACAGTAATAAGGTTCAAGAACGCCTAGTAAATGCGATGCCCAATCATTGACAAACCACTCGATGTAGAATGCCTTGGCGAACTCCCAATATTCCGGGTACCACCCTGACATCTCCCAGTCGATGATTGCAGCCACACGACCATCCTTGACAATGATATTGTCAGGTCTGAAGTCCCCATGAGTGAAGACGATACCATGCTTATGCGCATTGAGCATGCCGCGGGCGTAAGGGCCAATCTGGGTTTTACACTTCGTGATAAAGGCGTCTATGATTGTAGCATTGAAGTCTTCTATGCTTTTGAACGGACCTACACGTCTAGTTAAAAAGACGCTATCAAATGCTTGATATGAGCGTGATGACATACCGCGACAAGATGTTGACCATTCTAACATATTATCAGTGACTGGTCCTTCGTTCACAGACCCGATGTAATTAGCTGGCGAAAGAGAGCGCAGCTCGTCCATGTGCTTCTTGAGGTCCGCCGAGATTGCCTGCTTCTCAGTAGAGGTGTGTTTATCCCATGACTTCCCCAAGTCTTCGCCTTCGATAAACTCCATAAAGATATATACATCGTAGACGCTCGCATGGTCATCAAGGGTTCGATCTATAGGTCCGTATGCATATGCTGCATATAGTTTGGGGACGGGAATTGATGTCTTTTCAGCCACATACACCATATTCTTGGCTTCGATGAGAGAAGCATGGTGTCCCCATTTTACTGCTATCGTTGGTGACATTTTCGCGAGCATGCCCGTAATGTTCTCTGGGTTTGATGCGTGGAATTGTTCTGGAGTGATGAGTTCATGTCCTGGGGCCAGATATTGCACATGGATCTGTGGACAGGAAGGCATTGAACTGAATAGCTCGGGCATTGCGGCTGCTTGGAACGCAGCGATAGGCTAGTAACTTACATGAGTGATGCAATACACATTTACAAATTTCCACTTACATGATGCATGTTATCTTTGAACACTGCCATCTTGGAGCGGCTTGTGCTGGCTTTGAACAGAGGGGGTCAGCTGTTCTTCTATCTGATCGAAGCAGCACCGTCGATAGTGTCGACTTTACCGTACGAAGCTTTGGCAGTGAAGAAACAAGCATCAGATAATTGACGTTAGTGCAACATTTTTTAGGTACACCGTAATGCGTAGTTCAGGGAAAGATAAAAGAAGGTACCCTGCGCTGCGGGGGTGCAGGTGCGGGGCAGCCTTCTTGCCTAGTTTGCCCGAGGAATTACCGCGCCCCGGCAGATTCAGCACGCTCACTCCTAAAACATCTAGAAGAACACTCATAAAACCCCCACAGATGATATGGGTAACTGGAAAATACTGTCCGCAATTACATGGATCGAAGCGCTTTCACATTGCGGCAGCGTGGGCCTCAGCGACTAACACACGGGGAGATGTCTGGGAAGACTTCCGAGAAAACAGCGAAGGAAGGGCACGCAAGGGCCGCCAACATGCATTGTTCTCATACAAGAACCGTTACTGCTCTTGTTCTACCGATTCAAAACCTCGGTAGGGATATCGCATGTCATTCAGAAATAAGCATTGCGTACCTCATACATCGCCTACGCAGTTACGCTTCTACGACAAACATGCTACCTCATGCCATTTCAATCAACCAAGGACGAGCTGCTACAGATGAGGTATCTCTAACCATCAAGAAGTCATTGCGATACCATAAAGGACGGTAAGATTATTGTTCTAGACGCTGCTTATCATTCTGCCCTGGGTCTCATAAGCAATTACGAGTGCGCAACGAAGCAACATTCTCCAGTCGCATGAGGACGTGGACTTCTGGCAGGAAGATACCCGTTGTCTGAAAGGGCAACCCTTGCAGCAGACATATCGCTCACACTCCAAGTATTGACCACGCCCTTGCTTAACGCATGCATGAGCATCTGGCAAAATGCATACTCCTGCCAACCAGCGCGCTTTCGACAAACCTCCCCACATGCCATCTTGAGGTCTGATCACCACCAGAGTCCAGTCTGACCCGCCCCAGCTTTCTGTCTTGCTCAGTCTCCGAGCTTTCTATAGGCTTGCTACGCGAGCTATCCCCTGTCCGGTGGCGTCTGGAATACCATATGCGAACGCTGCTCGCATAACAGCCCATTCTGCAGCCATGAAGGACGACTAGGCCGCCAGAGGGCCCTTCACTGGATCATCCAGGGCACGTCTTGCCATAGCCGTTGCAACTGCGTCATAACAGCAATATATGTCTTGGGTTGCAATTACTTGGCGTTCTTGGGTCTGCGATAGCCAGCTCTTAAGCATGCTGGGTGCCTGGGGGCTGCTGCGCACACCTTCGTAGGTCGACATCTCAGTCTGATCTCTTGTTATCTTTTCCTCTGCCGCCTTAATTTGCTGCTGATTTTCCGTTCTCTCATACTTAAAAAGGGGTTTTCGACATGGCAGATCCCAGCTATGCAGCAGCTGAGCCGGGCGACTTCTTCTGTCCAGATGGTGGTACTTGGTGCGTCAACGATCTGACCTCAAAATGAACTATACCTTCAACACGAAAGCATGACTCAACAGCGCGACCAAGCAAGGAGCTAACAGTCTTCAGGTACGTCTGCGAGACAGGCACAAAGTTCGTGGGATGCTGCATGTCGGATCCGTGCCAGCATGCCTGCTTCGGCGATGCGCTGAAACCAGCGGGTCGCAATCCAAGACTCAACAATATATCACCCGGCGCATCCTGTGGTGGTACGACACCCTTCTGGACTTGTTCGATGGCTCCGACATTCTATGGATGTTGCAACGAAGATGCGTGCATGAACAACTCGACATGTCCAGAGGGGCAACTAGAGCCAGCGTTCTGGGACCGACCCGACCAATACTACTACTTCCATGACCTGAACGTTGCGCTTTCGTCGACTGTTCCTGCGCCCACGGCATTTTCAACTGCTGTCAGCACATCTGCGCCCGCCAGTGATACGCCTACAGCCACAGCTTCCGCCAGTTCTGAAGGAGTCTCTGGCGGGGTCATTGGAGGTGCCGTTGGAGGCTCACTCGCTGGTTTCATTATCATCGCTGCAGTCGTGTTCTTTCTATTCCGCCGCCGGCGCAACAAGAAAGCCAATGCCGAAGCAGAGGCAGCGAACAGCCAGGTGATACCAAAGGCCGAACTGGCATCGCCTACAACAACCACTGGTTTCGCACCATCAAATGGATTCTCACGTACGCCTCGATCACACGAAACATACGAGACTCAATACTGACTGCGTATAGCACCTCCCACATATTCTTGGGACACTTCCGGCCACGAACAGAAATGGACACACCACATTGGCACTGGTGAAATGATGGGAGATACAAGAAACCGTGAGGTAAATGCGAAATGCGCCGATAGCCATGGACCTGCCGAGCTGTACGGGGCTCTAGAGGCAAGAGAGCTTGAGTCGCCAGAGTACATTCCGAAAGTGGCGCAGGGAAAATCCGCCCACGCCACGTCGAAGCAGGAAGCAGATGGCGCGGATGCCACTAGTGATGAGAAAGCGGCAGCTGTGAACGCGCAAACGTGAAAGTCTTTCAGCTGTTTGTGAAGCTTCGAATCGAAGTATTGCGCAGTTTTGTATGCTAGGATCTTGTAAGCTACCATGGAACTGGCTCTAACCGAACGACCATGCGCGACGCTTTCGCATGCCTTGTACCATCACGACCGATCTAAGTACGGCCATATGCTCCTCATCTTCTCCGGCGTCATGCCAAATTCACTGCTCCTGCGCACGAACTCTTCTAGTAGTTCTTGGTTTTGTTGTTGTTTCGCAGAGAAGTCCAGTCGCGGATTGATCCAGCCTTCGAAATCCGTGCTAATGATCCCTCTCGCCAATTCGTGTACCTTGTGATAGTTGCTGTATTCTTCGAACTGTTGCTCGTGCTTCTGCAGATCCTCCTCGCTAAAGTTGAGTGGGCATTCGTCTTTGAAGCCAATTCTGTTCCATACTGCGGCAACCTCAATGAGACACGCGCGAAGTGGTATCTCGCCCTCTTCCGAGACTTCTGCACATCGTGTGAAGAGCTCCCGGAGGAATGCCGGTAACTTCAACGCCTTCCAAGCCATTGTGTTCTGAGCTGCGCAGTTCATTTCATACGTCTTTGTTGCTTTTGATTGCTCATACTTGAACTCTGCTAATCTCTTGTCGCCAGCGTCCATCTTATCCAGATCAGGCGGTGGCGGTGGGAGCTCCATGGTGCCCAATTGGTAGTCTTCGTCAACTGTCAGGAATTCTGGAAAGCGTGCCTGTAGGAACAATGGCGAGACTACAATCGATTGCCAATCAATGATCGATGTAATTTGGGGTGAATTTTGCCCTGAGACGTAGATATTGCCCATGTGGAGGTCGGTGTGCCATAGCACTGGATTGGAGACCTTGCTAACGAGTGTACGCTCGTGCAGTCGAGACATGACCTCTCTAGTCATGTCAAGAGCATCGATCTGCTCATCGAGAGTTCCTTGTGGTGAGCCAGATGTTGCGTTGAAAGAACGATTTCGCAGGATCGCAAGCTCTCGGTCGACTAGAGCGGTTCCGAAAGATGATAAATCTGGCCCTATGAAGTAAGGTCAGCTACAGTATGGCCCGTCCAGGATTGTACTCACATGGTCCCCGATTGAAATGGGGGGATAGACTTGCACTTTCGTCGGGAACATGCCATCCTCGCTCGCACGATGGACCTATACAAAACTCTCCAGAAGGATCCATCTCCTGGTCCAAGGAGACATGTGCATCGTTTTCTGCCATATATTTAGAAAGGTAAAGACTTCCGCTCGCCGGAAGGCGGATCTTAGTCATTTCGCTCTCGAATATGGCTAATTGTCGTAGGAGGCGCAACCGGTCCAAGTCATTCAGATCATCCCATACGTTGTATAGCTGAACGCCGAGAGCCTTTTCCATGATGATGTACTCGGCGCCGACAGGGTTGGACGGATCGGCGTCCCAGGCCAAAACTTTGGGTGCTGGGACTTGAGTGTACTTGTTTACTGCCGACAGCGATAGGATGAGCCGAAGTCATTTAGGCTTTCAAAAATTACAAGGACGTACGATATTTGAGAACAGCCACCTCCGACGCCGTGGTGTACGTTGGTGGTCCTGCGATAGGAAAGGGCATCTTCGCAACGATCTCGCTGCCATCTTCTTTGCGCAGAAGAAGTGCTTTGCTGAACCCTCCTTCCATCTTGTCGATCGCGCAGACGGGCGAGTGCCGCCCACCAGTAGTCGCAGCCACGGCGCAGAGCTGATCTAAGTCGAACCTCACATATCTGCGATCAACGGCTTTCTTCTCGTTTGCTAAGAAACGTCCGTTCGTGTATTTGAATAGGTCCTCGCGATCGATCGGTTTGCCTGCTTTCGTTGGCTTATTGACGAGGCTGGGACCGCGCAGTAGTTACCACGACATGTTATGGTGAGGGCTCGAGAGGCCTGGGTCGCGGCAAGACGCACAGTAGCGCGGAACGAATGTCGCAGTATGATGGTGGGTCGGAGCACTGATAGCATGACTGCATCGCAATGCAGTTTCTGGGTAAATTAGAGAGTACCGGCTGCGCTGGGTGACGCGCTCGCGCGCCCTCCACGCTACGAAAAGGCCCCGCTTCGCGAAGGCGCGCACTCGCGCTCGGCTGACGGCCCACCTGCGCAGCTGCACAAAAGAAAAACAAGGAATCTTGGCTTTAACAGAAGTACGCGAGACGAAAAGCGGGCGTGATGAAAATCATTTGAGACTACTGCCAACAATCACATTAGGCGAAGATGATCAAGTGATTTCGTGAATTTCATGACAACGATCGTAAGTGGGCTAAAAGACACAGCAGTAACAGAGACGCCGAAAGAGACCCAGCGACGGATACCTTACATCCGAATCCAACTCGTCATATCCTGATTTTTGCGAAAATGTTGCGCGACATGATGCATCCTCTTCGCGGTAGTCTCAAGCATACATCTGCAGAATCCACACCAGCGTGAACCAGGTCCGCCAGGCGACACACCCAACCCTCTTTCCCACTCCGTGGGTACCTCGAATGTCCTTCTGATCGATGGAGATGCACTTGCGAGGTGCGCAAGCAAGACATGCTGTTTGAGAAGATCCTTGCGAGGAAAACTACGTTCGGCGGTGCACTTGTTCGAACAGGGATCGATTGCATGCTTGTCGAGATGATCGATCGAGTCCATTGACTCCAAGCAGAAGACACATTCGGACTGCAGCTTAAATGCTTCTGTCAGCATGCAGATCCACTCTCGGTCGTTGTAGCCATGCACACCGGCCTCGTGTCTCTTCCAGCCAGATGCGTTCTTGAAAGATTGATCACAACCAATTGCGGTGCAGGGGAATTGATTCGCTGGTCTGGCTAGGCCAGGAGACGCCGTCTGCATCGGTGTTACGTGAGGCAGATGCTCGCTCACGCTAGCTCGGTATGCCAAAGCACGATGCCTCCGGCCTTTGCGCTTGGGCATGGGCGTTATTCGAGGTACAGTGACCTCTTCCAATGCCTGGTCCATTTGACTTACTGTAAAGTCTTGGTAAACTTCGGTAGCAAATGGAGGTCCGTTTTGAAGCACACGGCGACTTGCATAGAAAGGAGAGAGCCATGGGCTACTGGCATTCGTGCCCCATGTAGGTGGTGAGCTGATTACAGCAGGCGATATAGCATCAGCGGTAAGCATAGAAGGCTGCTGAATATAGTCCGGAATCACAGATATGATGTCGCATGGCTCGTCATGAATAGTATTTTCGCCGCTCCTTCCGTCGACGTGGCTATGCAATACTAAATTCAACGTCAGTGGAGCCAATGACAATATATTTTACATGTGACTTACAGTCCTTCTCGCGGGCACGAAGATTAGTCAGACAATTATTGAGTTCCTCTTCCGTGTAGCCCGTGGCTGTAATGAGCCCGAGTTTTTCTGTTGGCGTAGGATATGGCCAAGTTCTATGACTTGAAAGCCAGTCTCGGACAACTTGTGGTCGTCTACGGCGTTCAGTCAGGTGTGGAGAGACGTGGCATGGCTCGGGCTGCAACTCTGGTATTTGTCCAGGGCCGTTCGACTGTTTGGTGAGACTTGAATGCGTGAACACTGGGTCTTGCGTCCGATAATCATCAGAATCGGAAACATATTGATGAACGAAGCCCACAGGTGTGACTAGACCGGCAGAAAGGATGTCCGAACACCAAGATTCGATCGAATGCTTGCAGTCGAACAGAGACCGAGGCGGACTAGCATCTGGGACATGGATGTCGAGCGCGTTGTTGAAGACTGTGTCGCTCGGGCAAACGTAGCCGCCATGCGAGATATCTTGAGTAAAGTCGCCTGGGTTTTCGTCGACATGCGCAACGTGCGCGACATTGCCATCATCATTGAAGGGAAATTCGAAGTGGAAATGCGAATAATCTTCGTCGCAACAAGGAATATCTTCGTCGTTCACATCTAGTGAGGCTTCATTCGAGATGTAGCTAAAGCGAAGTGTTAGCGGTATATAAATGTATATCAGACTCGGCATTATAATTGACAGTGTCTACGCGGACTCGCTGCAGTGAGGCATGCGCGCGTTGGCAAGCGCCGAACTCAGGTTTCCGATGAACGCGACGATAGAGAGTGCGATACCTTTCTTCGTAACCGTTGGCAGTATTCGTGTAGCTATGTGATGGAATTGTGTCATTTTGATGGAAGTCCTGGTAACTTGTTAAAAAGTTCTGCTGTGGACGCCCTCCAGGTCAAGGGCTCTGGAGGGTGCTCAGTCTGGGATTGGCTCAACTTACGTCGGCAGACTCTCGATCGATCGGGGTCCTTGGCCCGTCTGTCATCGGAGGCGCGGATTTGAGCCTCCGGCGCCAAGCCTATCCTAGTCAAACTGGTTCCAGAAACGACTTCAACACAGCAGCAAACGTCCAAAGAGTGATTTTGAAAATGGGGAAAAGGTTGTGGAGTCTCACAGGGCTCTGCAAGTCTGTTTTCAGCTTTCATGATGAGTTTCAAGGCGTCGCAGCGAGGACTGCACCTTCTTGGAACCTTCCAAGGGTCACGAAATTCGGCGGCGACGTTCTTCGGCCTTGGTTACCTGTTCTGGACATTCCTCCGAGAGGTCTATATCCATCACGTGACGACAGTGGCCCCTGCCATTCTGTCGCTATCCACTTGATGCATTGCTTCCTCGAGTATTCGAATTTTTGGACAATTACGGTCCGTTCTAAATTTAGCTGGGACTTCTCTGTATTTCCTAGTCTCTCTGATAAACTGAGACAAGCCAACCGCGCTCTGGACGAGTGTTGGAGTGTAGCACCAATGTACAGCAAGCAAGCTTCACTTACATGGCTATCAAGATTAGGCGTAAAGGTGTCAAGAGAACGATGTAGGGACCAAATTGTCTAACAGTCATCATATTCTTCTCATGACCAAGTCACTACATCATCAATATATACAAGCGATCATCTCCGATCCCACCCCCATCTAAGCCTCCTCAGCAGCAGCGAGAATAACATCCGCCGCCTTCTCCGCAACCATGTACGTAGACACAGCAGTAAAGGTACCAGGAATCTTAGGGAAAACACTAGCATCAACAACCCTCAATCCCTGAACACCACGAACCTGGAATTTGGAGTCAAGAACAGCCATCTTATCGTCATCGGCACCAATAGGGCAGGTAGACGAGCAGTGGTGACCCCAAGCAGTGTCCTTGGCGTACTGAGCAATCTTCTCGGGGGTGTTGGCGTCCTTGCCGGGCAGGACCTCGTCAATGGGGACGAGCTGGCGCTTGAAAGAGTCACGGGCGAGGTCGACGGCCTCGGTGAGGGCAGTGAGATCCTTCTCGTAGTCGCCAACACCAGTGTCGAAGTAGTTGTAAGTGATCTCAGGGACGTCGAGAGGGTCGGCAGAGCGGAGCGCAACGGTTCCGGCGTTGTTGCGCGGGTGCGCCTTGAGGATGGCCCAGGTGAACCAGTCGTGCTCGGAGGTGGCGTTGTAGCTGTAGCCGGGGAAGTAACCGCGGAAGTTGACGGGGCCGCCGAAAGCGAAGATGTCGTATTCGTCGCGCTCGGAGACGCTGGACTTGTAGAACATGGTGGCACCGAGACCGGGGGAAGCGTAGATGCCGCGGTTGCCGAGGATGGATTTCTCCCAGCGGTCGATGCAGGCGTCGTCGTCGGTATTGCCGAAAGTGCAGCCGTTTAGGGCGGAGAAGTCGGAAGGAGCCTTGCCCTGGACGTTGATCTCGTAGTGGTCTTGGAGGTTGGTTCCGACACCGGGGAGGTCAGCAACGACGGGGATGTCGAACTTGTTCAGCTCGTCGGCTGGGCCGACACCGCTGAGTTTGAGAAGTTGGGGAGAGTTGTAGGTTCCTCCGGCGACGATGACCTCCTTGGAGGCAGTGGCGGAACCGGGCTCACCAGCTGCGCCGGTGTTCTTGGGGCTGGCCTTGTAGAGGTACTGGCCGTCGAGGAACTCGACACCGGTAGCGCGGGGAGGAGTAACGTCCTGGTCGAAGGTGATCTTGGTAACGTGGCAGTTGAGTCTGACATCGAGAGGATACTGCTTGCTGCCGTCCTCGTTCTTTGCGTCACGGACAGCGAGAACGAACTCGCGGGATCCAGTGCGCTTGCCGTCGGTGGTGGAGAGAGGGATTTGGTAGAGAGCGTTGGACTTGTCACGGCTCTCGGTGTCGGCGTTGGCATCACCAGCGATAAGAGTGCCAAGGTTGACGATGGCGTTGGTCATGTTGGAAAGGGCGAAAGCAGCACCGCCAACCAAGCTGAGAAGCTTGGGGTCAGAGGTGACGATGTCGATGGGGGCGTACGAGGTTCCGAGCCATCCGTCGTAGCCGTGACCCTTCTGGCCGGGCAGGAGGTAGTGGTTGTGCTCGAGCTTCTCGAAGTACTTGCGCATGTTCTTGGCGGACCAAGAGTCGTCACCAGTGATGGCGGCAACATTGTCGAAGTCAGACTGGTGAGGGTAGACGGCGATGAGAGCGTTGTGGGCTGTGCATCCACCGAGAGTACCGGTACGAGGGTAAAGCGTACCCTTCATGGTGGAACCCTCAGGTGGGCTGAGACCGGTGTACTCGCCTCCATCGACAGTCTCGTAGGAGGTCTTGTAGTCGCGAGCTTGGCGCTGCTCATCAGCGTAGTGCTTGACGTAGAAGTTCCAGCTCAGGTTGGGGTCTTCGGAAACCCTAGCGTTGAAAGCAGGAATGGTGTAATTCTGGCTGGCACCTTGGTCGTCACCGGCTTCGATAAGAAGCGTCTTGTGACCGGCAAGGGCGAGGCGGGCGGCCAGAGGCTTTGGAAATGGTCAGTATTTGTTACATACAGTCAGGTACTCTTGAACTTACACCACCACCTGCACCAGAGCCGACGACTACGTATTCATAGCCAGTCAGGTCGACAGCCACCGCAAGAGAAGCGAAGGCTGCGACTGTGTAGCCAATTACGCGGGGGAAGAACATGGTGATTAGGTATTACTTTGCTGTTCGGGTGGGTATTTAAAGAAAGAATGACAGAGGCTGTAAAGTGGCCTGCTTGATCCTACCCTGTGCAGCCTTGCTGACCTTTATATCGTTTACGAACCGCGTAGGTCGGCATCCCCCTATTTTCCGGTGGTGGCTTGCAATGCCGAACGACTTCTACCTCGGACGAAAAACCATTGGCGAGATACTTACCAAACAGGTGGTGTTCAGTAGTCGCGGTGGTTGATCCCTTCTTGGTCTGGAAAACAATGCTTTCATTCGGTCCGGCACGTAGATCATACGGGTCCTTCTAGGGTACCTTGCAGGTTGTAATTTGCGCCACGGGACGGAACCATTGGGACCTGGAGACCGACAACAGCGTTCATGGATCCGGGGGCTCAGTAGCGTTGGTGGTCGTATTTCTTTTGAAGTAACGTATCTCATAGCGGCAGGTTTACAGCCTGCTTCAGTCGCTTTCTATCTTTCGCCCGTTCACCGTGGATATCCAGGGAAGTTGTGGCAACACGCATCCGCGGAGTGAAAACGCTTTCCCCGTTGCGTCCCGCACCGACCCAGAAGTCCAGGTCAGGAAATGATGATTTCTCCTGTCAAGGACGCTTACCCTGGTCTGTCTATTCCTAATTGCCGGACGTTCCTCCCGCTTCGGAAGGGAACTCCACGGGTGTGGAGTCAACGGCCAGGGACAGCGGACGCTAGCGCCTAACTTGTGTTAGCAGCAACGCGCATTGAAGACTCTCTGGACCTGGGCTTCACGATAGGCACTGCGATGGATGCGAACGGACATAACGTGGTTCTGTAGATTGCCGACTTCTTCGCCGAGAACGATGACGGAATACCACGTGGTGTGCGAGATGCACTGCCGCAGGAACCGCCTTTTTCTTTTCGCCACGAGGCACAGAGTGAACTGACTCAACTACGACTCCACCCACCGTACGAACGCCATGTTGAATTCGGCATTCGGCTGACTCCACAACACCTTCTAATGCTCGTTCTAGTCGCATGCGTTAAGGCCTACGTTCTGTCGCTCGGTACCTGCGCCTTCTCGAAAACTCCCCTATCTGTTATTCCCGCGTCTATGGTTGGCCCGGCCACACGGCATCGGCAATGCTCCTGACAAGTTGCAGCTTCTTCCTCATGTCTTCGTAACCGAGCGAATTGCCTTCCGCGTGTGATGCGAAACCGCATTGTGGGCTGACACAGCACTGCTGAATGGCGTCCTCGCGCGATTGGCCGGTGCCCTTTGCAATCCAATCAGCGGCCTGGTTCACCCTGGCGATCATCTCGTCCTTGTCCTCGAGCTTGGGGAATTTCGATGTGATTACACCAAGCACGACGTTCTTGTGCTTGGGAAGATGCGCTAGCGGCTCGAATCCTCCGGCACGTGGTGTGTCGTATTCCAAATAGTATGTGTCCACGTTCAAGTCCTACCAAGATCAGCACTTCATAACCGTGAACAAGGAGATGAACGTACCTGGAACATCTTCTTTGCAATGTTGTCGTATGCGCCTTCAGAGAAATGTCTGCTGCCTACATAGTTACCGCGGCACAGGTGGATGCCGAGATGCATGTCCGCAGGGCGTTCGAAACACTTGTTATAAAACTTGACATAGGCATCAAACATCTGGTCGGCAGTCTTCTCGTTAGTTGTGTCAGCCTTCCAGCCTGCAAGCATGTCTTCCGAGCAGAAGTAGGCCAGGTTGGGGTCGTCGATCTGGATGTTCCTGATACCCTGCGCGTGGAGGATCTTAAGCTCCTCCTGATATGCCTTTGCGACATCCTCGAAGTACTCCTCGTCATTCGCATAGATCTCCTTGGGGTAGGCTCTTCCGCTCATGTAACGGAAGTGGTACCAGGATGGCGAGATCAGAGTAATCTTGATGTTCTTCCACTCGCTCTCGGGTAAAAGGCTCTTCATCAGGTCCACTTCACGCTGGTTGCTTGAAGTACCAGGGTGTTTGATCTTGTCGACACAGACGGTGACATGGTTCGGCACCTCCTTCGCTTCCATGAAAGACTTGACGTCCGGCGCATAGGCGCGGAACATGTCCTTGTTGTAGCCCTTCAAAACGCCAAGCTGGAGTTCCTTCATGCCATGAAGTGTTTCGAAAAAGGTACCCCAGAACATGTGCCTGCATGAATGGTCAGTCTAGACTCGGACTAGCAGCATCGGGACTATTGACCTAGTGTACTCTCCGCTCGACACAACCTTAAGACCGCAGTCTTGCTGGAACTTGACGACCTCTGCGACAGACTTGTCCTCCAAAGGAACGAGCTCCTCTGCCTTCGATTTACCAGAGGCAACATCGTAGCGCTTCTGCACAAGCTCCTGTGGGCGGAGCAATGAACCAACGTGCTCGGCGCGGAATGGAGGGCTTCTCTTGAGTGACGACATATTCAATGCGATAGTATGAATAGCTTAGAAAAGAACGAGTAATCAGAACGAAGCAATTGAACAGAAGAAAACTTTGCCCCTCATCATGTCCACTTGCCCCGCAATCACACGCCGCTCATTAATGACCGTTGGACCCTTTCTCAGCCCCGACATATCCATGTTCAGACGCCGGGAGCAGCTAAGCGGAGCTTAGAGGATGGAGCTTCGATGGGATTGGAAGAGTAATTGAGGGTGGCGGGTAAGCCATGTGGGAGGCATCTCAAGCTATGGTGGGGCCCTTGCTCGATAAGAGGCGCGCCACCCGATGTGACGCCGAGAGCCATGTGGTTACAAGGAAACTTGGAAGCCGCGAGCTTCCAAGTCATCCTTTGCTCACACGACTACATCTTAACTGCGATTGCGCGCTGTCGGTTTCCAAGTTATCGCAACGCACGAGAAATCCGCGAACACAATTCGGGTGTGCAGGCGCGCAAGGCGTGAAAAGGCAGCTTCGACCAACTAAGCATGAAGATATGGCTATGCTGTGGGGTGTATTGGGAGGTCCACAGTCCCTTTGGAAAATCGAAGAGACCGGAAGCTGCAGATCAGCAATTGTTTGCTGTACCACGAGAAGGCGACACGAAGACGCAGTATGCCCCACCAAAGATATCCCATCGATGAATGACGGGCATGACGCAATACTCTGGAGAACGAGCCGCGGATATAGCCACGAACGAACGCAAGTTTCGTAAGCGACGGCGGCAGTTACAACGGCGAAAGAGAGTAAATCCGAATTTCGGGGAAGCTCTACCCCGCGCTAGGTGGGATGTCATAGCTACATATATGCTGTCATTCCCGCACAGCTTCAAGTCTAGACTTTGACGCCCTAAACACCTCAACACCAGACTTTACTACCTACCAATAACATGACAAGAGTACTACTCACAGGAGGAAGCGGCTTCATCGCTGCGCACACCCTCGATATCCTCCTAGACCATGGACATAGTGTAGTCACCACGGTGCGCACCCAGGAGAAGGCGGACAAGATCAAGGTTTCATACAAGAGCTACGTCGACAAGGGCCAATTGAGCTTCGCGATCGTTCCGGATATCGCTCAACCAGATGCTTTCGAGAAGGCTGTTATCTCAGACCCTCCATTCGAGGCTGTGCTTCACACTGCTAGCCCGTTCCACTTCAATGTCACTGATGTCCAGAAAGTGAGTGTTTTGGGAAATGGAAACACCAGATAGCTGGCTAACACGACGAAGGACCTGATTGACCCTGCTGTCATTGGAACAACTGGCATCTTGAAGTCGATCAAGAAGAGCGCGGTATGTTGAGTCCGAAAAGTGCACAACTTACATTCGCATGCTAATGATACCGTGTAGCCCTCCGTCAAGAATGTCGTCATCACGTCCTCGTTCGCCGCTATCGTAAACGGAAGCAAAGGTTTCTGGCCAGGACACGCATACTCCGAGGACGACTGGAACCCGATCACACAAGAAGAGGCCACGGAGAACCCAATGATGGGATACAGAGCGAGTAAGACGTTTGCCGAGAAGGCTGCGTGGGAATTCGTTGAGAAAGAGAAGCCCAACTTCAGTGTCTCCACGATTAACCCACCGATGGTCTTTGGACCGATTGTAAGTCTTGCGATGCACTCTTCAACTCAATCGCTAACATGCACCAAGGTACACGCTCTTGACAGTCTTGACAACATGAACACCTCGAACCAGCGTATCCTGTCAGCGGCACAAGGCAAGTTCAAGGACGAGATCCCACCGAGTGGTGTACATCTGTGGGTGGACGTTCGCGACGTCGCGGAGGCACACGTAGCTGCGTTCGAGAAGCCAGACGCAGCCAACAAGCGCTTCTTCGTGACGGCCGGATACTTCTCCAACAAGGAGCTATGCCAGATCATCAAGAAGAACTTCCCCGACTTCAAGGACCTGCCGAGCGACTCGACACCCGGCGGCGACTACCCAGAAGGCACACCTGAGAAGGGTCTCTACACATACAACAACAAGCGCTCCATCGACATCCTTGGCCTCAAGTATAAGACTTTCGAGCAGTCGATTGTCGACTCTGTCAAGTCTTTCCAGAAGAAGGGATTGTAGATGGTAGCATCGATTATTCGGGAAGATAGATGAACGGCAGTAACAGTATTCGATTGGCTATGTACACTATTTGGGCGGCGCGCTTGTTCGAGCGGCAAAGCATCGGTCGCATGCATGGCAATCTGAAGAAGACATGTTAGCATATGCAATCTCCATGTAATAGACAGTACAGGATGTGTATGGGCAATCAGCCTGTTGAGCTTGAAATTTTTTGGACTTCACCGTCTTTGACTCGGAAGTTATCGTTTGTGTTGATCATCATAATGCAGAGAATTGGGAGAGATCGTGATGACTTACCAATGAGTAATGCGACGCGACGCTGGCCGCAACATATGTGCTGCATGAAGCTGTTGATGGCCAGCGTTGGTGTGAGAGAAACCAGCAGGCGCGAAGCTTCGAAGAAAATGGCAGGCTTCGGCTGAAAACCGGGCCGAGCTCTTCCAAGCCTAGCGGCTGCCCCACCAACGAAGCCCATCGATGGCGGGCAGTGACAGCAAAAGCCCAAACACTTCCTCGAGAATTCCACGTCACATCGCTCTATCGCCGTCGCGTACCTCGCAGCCACCCCGTAGCCGACTCTTTTCTTCATCAGACAAGCCACGTTCGAGAAATCGCAAAGATGTGTAAGTTGCCTACCACTACCCCACCACCGCCTCGATGCGCATCCGGCGGACGTGTGTAGCTTCCGACTGTGGGCGCAAGGCTGTGTTATGAAGATGCGGGGGATCTAAGACATGATGCTATGTTCATACTCATGTCGCAACACTATGTACTCGGTCCAGAACTGACTCATCTACAGCCGACTTCAACGCCATCGCCCGTATGTACCACCGGATACAGCAAGCACAACCCCGCCGACATCCTCTCCACGATCGCTCCATCCATCAAAGCGCGACTGACCCTTGCTCCAGAGCAGTTCGTCCAGTTCTACTACAAGACCTTCGATGAGAACCGCGCTGGTCTCGGTGCCCTCTACGTATGCGACTCAATATCGTTTGCGCAAAGCAGCAGTCGGCTGACAAATGCTATAGAAGGAGACTTCCATGCTCACTTTTGAGGCGCAAGGCACTCAGGGTTCCGCTGCCATTGTAGAGAAGCTCCAGGTAACGACAATTCTGCCCACGAAACAGGGACGGGGCTAATGCAGGGAAGAACCTGCCATTCCAGCAGATACAACACCGTACCGACACCGTCGACGCTCAGCCTTCCGCCGATGACGGTATCCTTGTGCTCGTCACCGGTGCGCTTTTGGCAAGTCGTTCCCATGCATCGTTACATCCGACCTTGACTAATACTGAACAGCTTGCGGGAGAGGACAAGCCAATGAGCTTCACCCAGGCCTTCCAGCTCAAGAATGCTGAGGGCAACTGGTTCGTTCTGAACGACGTTTTCCGTCTCGTATACCCCGCCGCGTAGGCTATCCGCTCGCTCTTGAGCTTGATTTCACCATACCGGTGACTTCGGGGGCATGCATAAAGAGTCACTGAGTCTTAGCGACTTTGGACACGACTGACGCGATTTTCTTATGAGTTTTGAGCATTTTGGCGGAGGCAACATAGGTGCGGATGGAATCGAGGATCGATGCTTGACGCAGTCATCTTTGGGAGTGTAGCTACTCACGAGTTCTACACAGGTAGATTGAGCTAAATTTTCAAAATCGACTTGCCTTCTTTGCAGCCTCCTACAGCATCTCGAATTACATCTACCATCGTGCATATGCATAAGCCTTTTCCATGCGGCGGGTTTGTTTTCCGTGCATGACGCGGAAGAGAGCTTTGCCGCCATTCCTCCGCCCCGCGCTCACTTGCCGAAGCGAAGCTCCACGCCTTCCTCGGACCTGGAGCTTAGCTTACAACGACCATGGCCTCGTCGCGCGGCAAAAGCCAGGACATTCTGTCTCTTACTCGCAAGCATCGGCGTTACTTCACTTCGCCTCTCCTATTCTCTTGATACCCTCCTCTGTCCTTTAGCGTTCCATCACAACCCATCGTCTCACAATGGCTTTCATCCAGAAGGGACTCAAGAACATTCTCCAGAAGAACCCCCACGATGTGGTCTTCCTATCAGCACTTCGCACGCCAGTCACAAGAGCGAAGAAGGGTGGACTCCGCGATGCATATGAGCATGAACTTCTAGGAGCGGTATGCCATCCTCAGCACCTGCAGTACACAGACCCAAGTCCTAACAACATCCCAGGTTCTCAAAGCCACAATGGCCAAGTTCCCCAACCTCGACCCCACGAAAATAGACGATATATGTGTCGGCACCGTTCTCGCAGAGCTCGGTGGCTCAAAAGCCGGTCGCATGGCCGCGAACCACGTCGGCATACCCACCACAACCTCCTTCAGCACCGTAAACCGCGCCTGCGCATCTGGCCTTTCCGCCATAACTTCAATCGCAAACTCGATTGCCGTAGGACAAATAGACGTCGGCATTGCAGGCGGCATGGAGAGCATGACACGAAACTACGGCAGCAGGGCCGTACCCACCGAACTCTGGCCCGAGATGAAAGAAAGCCCAGTGAAGGAAGCCAGAGACTGCATAATGGCCATGGGCATAACCTCGGAAAACGTCGCATCACGCTACGGCGTCAGCCGCGCCGACCAAGACGCCTTCGCCGCCGAATCTCAACAGCGCGCCGCCAAAGCACGGAGAAGCGGCCTCTTCGACGACGAGATCGTACCCGTAACCACCCGATGGATCGAGCCCGAAGTCCCCGAGAACACAAAGAGCATCACTGTAACAAAGGACGATGGAATCAGGCCTGGGACAACCGTCGAGAAACTCGCGGAGATGAAACCTGCGTTCATCAAAGACGGTACGAGCACAGCGGGTAACAGCAGTCAAGTCTCCGACGGCGCGTCTGCAGCGCTGATGATGCGTCGGTCCACGGCCACGACCCTCGGTCTGGAATCCCAGATTATCGGCAAATGGGCGGGCACACAAGTCGTTGGCTGCTCGCCCGATGAAATGGGCGTGGGACCCGCGTTAGCCATACCCAAACTGCTCGACTACACCGGCCTGCAGACATCTGATGTGAATGTCTGGGAGATCAATGAGGCGTTTGCTAGTCAAGCGTTGCATTGTATCAGGACGTTGGGGTTGGAGAGCAAGATGGATAAGGTGAATCCGAATGGAGGAGCTATTGCACTGGGGCATCCGTTGGGAGCGACGAGTGGTAGGATGTTGGCTACGCTGTTGCATGAGATGGGGAGGAGTGGGGAGCAGGTTGGTGTGTTGAGTAAGTGTATTGGAACGGGCATGGGCATGGCTAGTTTGATTATTAGGGAGTAAAGATTCTAGGGGAGAAGAATTATAGCTTTGGTGTATCAGATTAGGGGTCCTCTGCTCAAAAGGAACTGGGTATCGAAGTGACTAAACAATAACGCCGTTGAATATGCATCGCTCTTCCTATCCTCTTCACTGCTGTTTTTTATGCTTTGCCCTTCTTGCTCTTCTTTTTCGACCGCTCGGCTAAGATCTCATCGAGGAAGCTCTTGGGTTTTGTTCTCGCTTTCTTGGGTGCTGGTTGTGTGGTTTCCGCTTCATCATCGTCCTCCTCTTCCTTGATGGGTTTTGCGTCTGCTTCAGCTTGTGTGGTGACCTGCTCTTTCATTACTTTCTCCTCCTCTTTCACAGTGCCACCTTCTAGCCTCTTCGCCCTCGCCTCTTCATCTTCGTCGTCACTGTCCACCGGCTTAGCTTCTTGAGTCACCTTCTTCTTCTGCCTCTTAGATTTGAAAGTCGCAGCTCTCCCCTCTTCATCATCGTCCGACTCTTCTTTCTTTGCAGCCAACTTCTTGTAATGTTGAGCCTTGGAGGCTGCATTCGGTCTCGCAGCTTCTTGTTTTGCAGTGATATGGGCTTTTGCTTTCTTCTTGCCGATCAGCTGTTGTAACAGTTTGTCGTCCGATGTTCGTATTCTGCTGGTGAAGCTGCCATCTTCGATATCCTTGGGAACTATACCGCCGACACCGATTCTGGGGACATTATTAGAACCGCGATCGGCAGCGCAACAACACGTATTTACCTGTCGTGAGCGTAGTTTTGTTTCAAATCTTGATCATCGTCTTCAACTTGTGTTTTCGCATCACCATCCGCGGTGCCCCAGTCCGGCCGCGACCCATACAGGGACGCCAAGAGTTTCTGACCCTTTGCCTCGAGCAGACTTATGCGATTTGCGATGACATCGCCCTCATTATTCCGTTTAGACATGGTTGCGCGATTACTTCGATGCGCATCAAGTTCCAGTCGCTTGGTGTTACAGAAGTTCCCGGCCGCGATATTTTTGAGAGGACCCGGTTCATTCTCGGCGCGCTAGCAGACGTCCGCAACAGCCCTGTGAAGCCGCAACACCAACGGAGCTGTGCACTCCAGCTCTACCCCCCTCCAACTCGCCTCCTTATACCCACACGTGTGTCTGCCGCTCAGACATCATGTACAACTTTGCCCGCGCCCGGCCGCTGGCTCGCGCTGTCCGCGCTGCTGCTGTACGTACACGGGCCTACTCCGCAAAGCTGCGAAAGCCTCTTACGCAGCGTGCACCACACTGGGGGGTCATGTGCTAACACGGCCTAGGAGACACCGTTGAAGCGCTCTGTCGTCCAGCAAAGGAGAGGTCTCGCCATCCACGAATACAGGTCCGCTGCCCTGCTCGAATCGGTACGCTTACTCCACCGCATGTCCACCAATTTCGAGGGTCCAGATATCTAATGCGAATTTCAGTACGGCATCGGCGTGCCCAAGGGTGGTGTCGCTACCAGCGGCGCCGAGGCAGAGAAGATCGCCAAGGAGATCGGTATGCGACAGCAAGAGTGAATGCACAGTCGTGGGCTAATGCGCGCAGGCGGAGAGGATGCTGTTATCAAGGCCCAGGTTCTCGCTGGAGGCCGTGGAAAGGGTACCTTTGACAATGGCTTCAAGGGCGGTGTCAGAGTCGTCTACTCGTATGCTACTTCGCAACCATAACACGACCCCGGCCACCCTCTAACACAACATGCAGTCCCCGCGAAGCCTCCATCCTCGCTGACCAGATGATCGGCCACAAGCTCATCACCAAGCAAACTGGAGCCGCCGGTCGGCTCTGCAACTCCGTCTTCATCGTCGACCGCAAGTTCGCCCGCCGCGAGTTCTACCTCGCCATCCTCATGGACCGCGCTTCACAAGGACCCGTAATCGTCGCTTCGTCGCAAGGTGGAATGGACATTGAGACTGTTGCCAAGGAGCACCCCGAGGCCATCATCACCACCCCCATCGACATCCACAAGGGTGTCACCGACGACATTGCCCGCAACATCGCGACCGAGCTCGGCTTCTCAGAGCAGTGCATCGAGGACGCCAAGGACACCATCCAGAAGCTGTACCAGGTCTTCATGGAGAAGGACGCTACCCAGATCGAGATCAACCCCCTCTCCGAGACCACCGACCACCAGGTCCTCGCCATGGACGCCAAGCTCAACTTCGACGACAACGCCGACTTCCGCCAGAAGGAGGTATTCGACTGGAGGGACATCACCCAGGAGGACCCCGAGGAAGTCAAGGCCGCCAAGGTTGGCCTCAACTTCATCAAGCTCGACGGTGACATTGGCTGCCTCGTCAACGGTGCCGGTCTCGCCATGGCTACCATGGACATTATCAAGCTGAACGGCGGTGCGCCCGCTAACTTCCTCGACGTTGGTGGCGGTGCTACACCCGAGGCTATCAGGCAAGCGTTCGACTTGATCACCAGCGACCCCAAGGTTACTGCCATCTTCGTCAACATCTTCGGTGGTATCGTCCGTTGCGACGCTATTGCCAAGGGTCTCATCCAGGTTGTCAACGAGATGAACCTCAAGACTCCTGTTATTGCTAGGTTGCAGGGTACCAACATGGAGGCTGCTCACAAGCTCGTAAGTCATGCCAAAAGAATCAATTCTATATGCATTCATGCTAACACATCATGTTCCAGCTCAACGACTCAGGCCTCAAGATCTTCTCCATCGACGACCTCCAAGCCGCCGCCGAGAAGTCCGTCCAGTTCTCAAAGGTCGTCAAGATGGCGCGCGACATTGACGTCGGTGTCGAATTCACTCTTGGTATTTAAACTCTTTCAGCATGAACCCTTTGCTGGCTGACCACGTTTGTGCATGATAGGTTTGTAGATAGATGGAAGCCAAATTTGAGCAAGCGGTGTGTCTTATGAAAGTTTGTTTGGTCTTTGATTGTACTTGGCTTTGTGTGTGGTGGTGTGATTTTATTGCCTGCGATGTGGTGCTGATGTGAGCGTAGGTAGTGCGAAGCGCTGGGTGCGCTTACCCCGCCGATGTGTGACCACTGACACAGCTTGCTGACGATGATGATGATCACCATCTTCACGACACTATAATCCGGTCGAAACCACAGTCCACAGACCCAATTATCGTATATACGCTCATTGT